GAGGCCACTGATTGAGGAGAAGGAGCTGGAAGACTTCCAGTCTATGTGGACCATGAAGAAGGAGGATTTGCAAATGAAGGAAAGGTTCACCAAGCTGAAGATGCTTGAGACTCTTGTTGCGAAACAAGGTCCGATAGCTGATTATGAAGAAGCTTTGAAAAAGAAACTCATAGCCGAGTTGTATCCTGTTTAATTTATGTTTATGTTTAATGTTTAAGTTTCATGTTTAAGATGTTTAAGTTTATGTTTATGTTTCATGTTTAAGTTTCATGTTTAAGTTTAGTTTTTATGTTAAGTTTATGGAATTGTAATGTTTATGTTTCTGTGAAATTGTTCTATAAAACAGAGGACTTTTCTTAATATTAAAGCTTGTTTCATTATTATGTTTATGTTTATGTTTAATATTAAAGCTTGTTTCATTATTCTTGTTATTACTTGCAGGATTTTTTATGTTTATGTTTATGTTTCATTATTCATTGTTCTTGTTTATGTTTATGTTTATGTTTCATTATTCTTGTGTATTCTAAAAGCTTGTGATAATGATTGGATGTTACTTGCAGGATCTTGGAAGGTTGTGTCACGGGTCTTGGAAGGTTGTGTCACGGAGGAGGACGCATGGACGCATGGAAGCATGGAAGCATGGCAGTTTGGAAGCTTGGAAGGTTGTGTCACGGGTGTGTATTCTCGTGACCATCACTATTTGTAATGTTTGGAAGCTTGGAAAGTTGTAATGTTTTTATTCTCGTGACTCAACTCTATATATGTTTGTATTATCTCACTCTCTTTCTCTTGTATCACCAAAACGAGCATTCACTCTCTTTCTCTTGTAACACCAAACGATCATTCACTCTCTTTCTCTTGTATCACCAAACCATCATTCACTCTCTTTCTCTTGTATCACCAAACGATCACTCCTTTCTATTAAACAAAACAATCACTCATTTCTCCTCTCATCTATAATCATCTATGGCTTCATCTTCTCACAATAATGTTGATGAGTCTTTAGATGAGTCCTTTGATGATGCTTTTGATGCGTTCTTTGATCAAAAATTTAATCGATATTTTGATCAAGTGTTCGATAATGTTCGTGGTGATCAAGAAGAACAAAGAAAAAAAAACAAACGAGCTTATATTGAAAGACATCGAGAAGAAGGGCATATTCGATTATGGAATGATTATTTCAGTGCGACTCCAACGTATACTGATAATATCTTCCGACGACGTTTTAGAATGAACAAACCGTTGTTCATGCATATTGTTGATCGGTTAGCCAATGAAGTTCCCTATTTCCAGCAAACAAGAGACGCTCTCGGAAGATCTAGTCTATCTCCCTTTCAAAAGTGTACCGCAGCCATTCGTGTCTTGGCGTATGGTTCTGCAGCTGATACAGTCGACGAATACCTCCGGCTTGCTGAAAGTACAACTCGGTTATGTGTGGAGAATTTTGTGGAAGGAATAATAAATTTGTTCGGCGATGAGTACTTAAGAAGACCAACACCGGCTGATCTTCAACGACTACTTGATGTTGGAGAGTATCGTGGATTCCCCGGGATGATAGGAAGCATCGATTGTATGCATTGGGAGTGGAAGAATTGTCCCACCGCTTGGAAAGGGCAATATAGTCGTGGTTCAGGTAAACCCACAATCGTTTTAGAGGCGGTTGCTTCATATGATCTTTGGATATGGCACGCGTTTTTTGGACCTCCAGGTACTTTAAACGATATCAATGTTCTTGATCGCTCACCTGTTTTTGATGACATAATAAATGGTAAAGCTCCTCAAGTCACTTTTACCGTCAACGAGAGAGAGTATCATTTCGCTTACTATCTCACCGATGGTATTTATCCGAGATGGGCAACTTTTATCCAATCTATTCCTTTACCACAACAGCCGAAAGATGTTTTATTTGCTCAACGTCAAGAAGCTGTCCGTAAAGATGTCGAGCGTGCTTTTGGAGTCTTGCAAGCTCGTTTTGCCATTGTTAAAAATCCAGCCTTGTTTTGGGATAAAGTCAAAATTGGGAAGATTATGAGAGCATGCATCATACTCCATAATATGATAGTACAAGACGAAAGAGATGGATACACTCAGTATGATATTTCGGAGTTTCAACAAGGAGAAGACAATCGAAGTTCACATGTCGATCTGGCGTATGCTACCGATATTCCTTCAAATATCACAAATCGTTTGAATGTTCGAACAAAGCTTCGTGATAAACAAATGCATCAACAACTCAAAAATGATTTGGTTGAACATATTTGGCGTAGATTTGGAGGTGGTGAAGACAACAACTNGATATTTCGGAGTTTCAACAAGGAGAAGACAATCGAAGTTCACATGTCGATCTGGCGTATGCTACCGATATTCCTTCAAATATCACAAATCGTTTGAATGTTCGAACAAAGCTTCGTGATAAACAAATGCATCAACAACTCAAAAATGATTTGGTTGAACATATTTGGCGTAGATTTGGAGGTGGTGAAGACAACAACTGATCTCAAATGTTTTTTTTTTTTAAGTATTCTCGTTTATTTTAGTAATGTGTGTTTTATTTTTATTTTCAAATCTATGTTTCAAATCTATGTTATCTTTTGTTATCTTCTATTTAATAAAAAAGAATATGTTTAGTAACAAATTATTTATTATTATTTTATTTTTAAGAACTCTCAAACAAGAGACTTGCAATGGAGACATCAAATTCTCAAATCTCTTAATCAATTCTCTTAATACACTTTATGGTTTAAATATTATAAAAAATTGATTAGGAGACCCATAATGAGTTTGTGGGATGAGGATGCTCTAAGAGCAGCATTAACGCAGGTATTTAGAGGGTATCTTAGGTTAATTATGCATTAAAAGAAAATGTATAACAAAAATTAAGGGAAGAGGCGTATGCTATTTCGCGTCACGAGCATACGGTCTTTTGTGACACGTGTTGTCTTTGTGTTGTGTTCTCTCTCTCTCTCTCAAAATCTCTTTCTCTTCCTTCGCGATTTGCATCTCTATCTCTCTGCCACTGAAGAAATCAGTCGGGTTTGTTGTTCGATTTGATAATGGGATCCATCGGTAACAGATTTGATGGAGGATTCTGTTTTGACTCAAAGGGTTAACCTTGAGAAGCTGTTTTGATTCTCTTCACAAGAAGGCTGATCCAAAGGCTCGAGCTTTGTCTCTGCGGCGCGGAGGGAAGAATAACGGGACGGCGGCGGAGTCACTGACCTAGCGGATGGACCTGGAGTTGGTGAGACGACGAGGTTCCAAGGGAATGATAGATTGTTCTGGCTGTTGACATTGATGAGGGTATGTAATCTTCCCTTCTTCTTTGATTAATCATGTTTACTGGAACTAGAGATGTTTTTAAATGTTTTTGTTATGAGTTGTTGAATTTTTAAATGGGTTCTAGAAAAAAGTTTTAGAATTTAACAGTCAAGGAGGTGTATAGTATCTGGAAATATGTATTTAGATAGATGTTGTTGGAGCAAAAGGTTAGAATCTCAGATAATTTCAGTTTGTATTGTGATTGTGTAGGAAGACTTGTAAATCCAAGAGACATGAGCCAGGAAAAAGCAGAATCAGCGTGGGATAGACTTAAATGTTGCTATATGAACCAGGAAAGAGCAGAATCGGCGTATGTTCTATATTGATCCCAAGGTACATATACATATTGCCAAGTAATAAAAGGACCAAGCTTTTACATTTCATGTGTCTCATTTTATCCTGATTCTTCAACCATTTGAGTTAAGATTGGATTCTTGTTTCCTGTGCATCATCTAGGATTCACTATGTTTCATGAAGCTATTGGTTTCTTTGTTTGTTTGTGTGTGATCATAACTTCGTCTTGGATAAGTTTTAACATAACTTGTTTGTTGTGGCCGATGCCAATGCTACAAGGAAACTACTTCGTCCCATGTTTGATCCTGTCACGTAAGTATTAGCTCTTCTTCTAAATGTTCTGTGTGTTTGGTAATGGTTTTGAGCATGCTTCTGAACTAGGATCGGTATAGGTTGCTTCTGAGCTTTGATGATTATTGATGTGTGATGGAATGTGTATCTTCTTGTAGGCTGTGCTTGAGAACTTGCAAGGTTCATTGCTGAGCTTGAGAACTTGCAAGGGAAAAACAGGTACTCTTTCTCTTTATTGAGAGCTCTGAAATTTAGTCATGATTGCTAGATATAAACTCTATTGTCTTTCTATTTTGTATTGTGTAGTTTTACAATTCTCTGGCCTGATTGTTCCTGACATTCAAGATGACAATAAGGTACACTGTGATCATTTGTGAAACCAGTCACGAAGAGACCTGCATTGGAGGGGATAATTTTGCAGGTCTCTTAAGTATGTTTCTTAAATCACTTTTACCATTAAAATGCATTATAAAAAAAAATAAGAGACACATTAGGGTATATGGGTTGATGGTGCTCTAAGACAGCTCTTACCCTCACCGTTACTAACGTCTAACCATAAAACAGTGCAAAACATCAACCCAAAGATAGACACATAACTAAGTGAGCATAATTACCAACCAGGAAAAGATTTGATATTGTTTCTAAGTCTGACTCTTTTCGGACGTGTAAGTCTTTTTATTATCAAAGTTAACAAGTTTTTACCCATTTTTTCAGAAAAAGCATTCTGTAATTTTGGTATATTTAAGAACTCTTTTAATTTTAATTTAAAAATCTAATTTAAATTTAAAAAATTAACAAAACTGTTTCAGTAGTTATGGTATTTCCAAAATTCTTTCAAGTAATTACATTTAAGAAAAAAAGCACGTAGCATCCCGTATACATTAACATCAACGTATCCCCAAGTGAAGTAAAAAAGAATCCACCTTTAAGCTTTTAACGTGTAAAAAATTTATTTAAAGGGGCATTAAAATTCTCAATCAAAATTCAACGGTGATGTAGAACCCACTGAAAAAAACATAGCTGTCGTTCCCTCACCCATTGTCATGTTCTCTTATAAATCCCACTTTATAATCCACAGTTCATTCCAAAGCATCTTACTCATTTCATCGTTTCTTTCTTAACCCAAAAACAAACACAAACAAACCAAAAGGAGAAGAAAAAAAAAAAATGGATCTTCTCCTTTTCATGTTCTCCCTTCTTCTCTCTTATCTTTTCTTCAAGATCTGGAAACTCATAGACTCAAAGAAAGACAAAGATTGCTACATCCTAGACTACCAATGTCATAAACCATCCGACGACAGAATGGTGAGCACTCACTTCAGTGGAGAAATCATTCACCGAAATAAAAACCTTGGATTAGAGGAATACAAGTTCCTTCTCAAAGCCATTGTGAGCTCAGGGATCGGTGAACAAACCTACGCTCCAAGACTTGTCTTCGAAGGCAGAGAAGAGCGTCCTACGTTGCAAGATGGGATCTCGGAGATGGAAGAGTTCTACATCGACACCATCGGTAAAATCATGGAGAGACAACATATCTCACCTAAAGAAGTCGACATCCTCGTAGTCAACGTCTCCATGCTCACTTCAGTGCCTTCTTTACCTTCAAGAATCATAAACCATTACAAGATGAGAGAAGACATCAAAGTCTTCAACGTAACCGGGATGGGATGTAGCGCGAGTCTAATCTCTGTAGACATTGTCAAGAACATATTCAAAAGCTACCCAAACAAGCTAGCTCTCGTTGCTACCTCCGAGTCTTTGAGCCCTAATTGGTATAGCGGAAACAACCGTTCGATGATTCTAGCTAACTGCTTGTTCAGATCCGGTGGTGCTGCTATTCTCTTGACTAACAAACGTAGCTTGAGAAAGAAAGCAATGTTTAAGCTCAAGTGTCTGGTACGGACTCACCATGGAGCAAGAGAGGAGTCTTACAATTGCTGTATCCAGTCCGAGGACAAACAAGGTCGTGTAGGGTTTTACTTGGGGAAGAATCTACCGAAGGCAGCCACTCGAGCTTTGGTGGACAATCTCAAGGTTATAGCACCAAAGATTCTTCCCGTAACCGAGCTCTTGAGGTTCATGATAAAGCTTTTCATCAAGAAAATCAAGATGCGTCAAAACCCTAGCAAGGGCTCCACGAATCTCCCAACGGGAACTCCTATGAAGGCAGGGATCAACTTCAAGACCGGGGTTGAACACTTTTGCATTCATACCGGAGGAAAAGCTGTGATTGATGGGATTCAAAATAGCTTGGATTTAAGCGATTATGATATTGAACCGGCTAGGATGACTCTTTACAGGTTTGGGAATACCTCGGCTAGTAGTTTGTGGTATGTGTTGGCTTACATGGAGGCTAAGAAGAGACTTAAGAGAGGAGATAGGGTGTTTATGATAAGCTTTGGAGCTGGGTTTAAGTGTAATAGCTGCGTCTGGGAAGTTTTGAGAGATCTCACCACTGAAGAATCAAAAGAGAATGTGTGGAATCATTGCATTAATGACTATCCACCTAAATCGATTGCGAATCCTTTTACAAAGATGTATGGTTGGCTTCAAGATGAAGATCCTGATACGTTCAAGATCCCTGAGACTTTCAAGATCCCTGACGAGTATTTGTAAAACGTTTCCGCACAGAAACACAAACGCAAAAACAACACAAAGGTGACAATATTCTCTTTCTTTCTTTTTTTTCCTTTTCCCTATAATTTACGTGTTTTAATTGGATTGGAAATGAGATATGAATGCATGTAAAAGAGAAACTTTGGTAACGTATTGCTTGATATAATTTTTTGAGTTATAATTTGTTAAAGAATTTCTGGGGTATGCACATCCAATACGATGAGAATTTTTCTAATTTGCCATCCGAATGGAATGTTGCCCTCTTTTTCTTGCGTTGAAAGTTGTATCATTTTAATATTTTTTTGTATTAATGTTCATTTCACTTTAATTTGTAATATTGTTTCGCATTTACTGAACCTTGTCAAGGTAGAAATTCATTCTACTCCTCTTTTTACGTGATTATATATTTTCAGTTGTTTGGTTTGAAAAGTTTACAAGGAAATTAAGAGCCTTCATGATCATGAGTATAGTTCTGAGTTATGAAGTTCAAATTCCAGACATGTCTCAATCTACTTTTCGTTGTTAAAGTAACGTTTACATTTACATGCGACATAAAATATACTCCCTCTGTTTCATTATAAGTGTCACTCTACAGCTGTGCATACGGATTAAGAAAACAATTAATTTTACATATTTCCTATATAAAAACACAGTTACCCATACACCTAACCATATTTTAACCAATAGAAAAACAAATTACATAATACAATTAATAAATTTTGCATTGAAAACCGAAAACGACACTTATTTTGTAACGCAGAAAATTCTCTACAACGACACTTAATATGAAACGAGGGAGTACTAGTTTTGTATTCTTGGAATAGTTTCACAAATAAATTGAAAACGAGTTTGTTTGGTAGGCAAAACATTCAATGAGCATTTTATTTCACCCACCAGATCCCGGGCCCCAATTTTCTCCACAAATAATGACAACGCAATTATTAATAGAGATCCCTAATTAGTACTAGCATTAGATTAGGTACGGTTAATAAAGTTTACTCATGCCTCACTAGTGACGACAACAAAAATAAAGTAAACTAAGAGCACCTCCAACATGAGTCTTTAATAATGAGTTCTTAGGGAAAAAATAATTAATAATCAGTAGACCTCACAAAAAGTTAAGGATTCGATCTTTTCCCTAAATAAATACTGTTTCTTAACGAATCCTTACACTATTTGTGGGTCCTCAGGACACGTAGAAGTCCGCGAATGATCATTTTTTGTTTCCTTTTTTTTTAGAAGAAAAAATCTGAAATATTTTTACCAAATCCAAAATACTCTTTTTCTTAAGGACTCCAACGAGTAACACCGTTGGAGATACTCTAATACCTTAATTAGGACCAATTTAGTTTACACGTATCTAGTAAGAAAGAAGCCTAACCAAACATTATTATCTCAGACTCAGATTCTACAAGGGCTTTGGATGCCGCAACTTTCCAACGGAGATGATCTAGGGGGTGATTGGTTGTGGTTATAAATGCTCTAGAAAGCTAAAATTTAGTTTAGAGTCATACTCCCTTTTCAAAACATTATATGTTTTAGCATTTTCACATATATTAAGAAAACATAAAATTTTGATTACCAATACATCATTTATTATAGATAACAAATCCTTATATTTTTGAACCAATAGAATTTTAAAAAACACAATTAGTTTTTTTTTTTGGAATCTACATTTTTGCATTAAATTATACATTAAAAATATAAAAATAAATCTTTAGAAAAAAATATTATTTCTAGAATGTTTATCCTTTTGAAACGGAGGGAGTATATGTTAACTAATCATGTTTTTTTTTCTTTAAAAAAAATAGAGTAAAAATATCTCTAGAAAATTAAAAAACAACTCTAGAAAACTTTATTTCTAGAGCAAAAAATAATGTTCTACAAACCTATATCAAAAATATTTACAGCAAATAAATATATTATTCTAAAGCCAAAAAATAAAAAATATCTGCACTTATCAATTATCTTCTAATGAAAAAAAAATTGCACGTTGTAAAAGCACAGTAAAAAAAAAAGAATTTCTAATGATATTTTTTTTTCTCGTTAGAGAGTACTTATATTCAAAGTTGATATTGGATATAAGTTTATAACCCAATAAAACATAAACATAATTTTATCTGAGGACCTGCCATGTTTATACTTGATTCTGTGAGCTACGATTTATTTGCTTTATGGACCAATCATCTCTATTCTAAATTATTTATTTATTTTTTTTTGAAAAAGAACTCTACATATTTTACATTTCAAATATAATCTCTATTCTGATTTTCTCTGTAACGAATTCAATATACAGTAGAACCTCTATAAATTAATATTTAATAAATTAATAATTTATAGAAATTAATAAATATTTTCAGTCTCAATTTGATCCAGTTCAAAATTTTATCTTTATATTTTCTAAATATTTAATATTTTTTGATGAGATTTAGTAATGTATATCTAAAATCACATTTAAATTCTATGTACTATATATTATATACACCAAATAATATAATTAATATATGTCAAATTTCAAAAAATAATAATTAATGTCGTACATTAAAATCAAATATTTTCTTATTTTAGAATAAATATATATTGTTACCCAAAAAACAAAATAAAATATATTAAAATAATAAAATCTAAATAATGAAATTTTTGTAAATTAATATTTTCATAAATTAACAAAATTTCAAAATTCAGCATTATTAATTTATAGATTTTTACTGTAGTTCTATTTTCTTCTATATTATTAAAATAAGAAAACGAGAGAAACCATAACTAGCATTTAAACCCATTAAATGGTAAAAGTAAAACAAACCCATAGGTCCCAACGAGAAATGCAGTCCCTTGTTCTTCGGATTAAAACCAGGAAATTTAATTCTTAAAACTTTAAATTATAAATTGATAATTGAATTTTCAGCAGGATATGTTTTGATGTTAGTATTTTTTTGGCCCTTTTATGTTAGTATTTTAAATCAGTGTCTTCTTTGTGGGATAGTTATAATATCTTATTTTGATAAGTTAAATTTTTAAGAAAATGATTAATTTGGAGTTTTTAAGATGAGGTTTTTAGAGGAAATATATTGGTGGGATATCGTTGATAATAGTTATAATAATAATTGAGATATAGAGCAAAAAAACTAGATGGGTAATAAATAGGGACAGGTAAGTGACAGTAGAAAGTAAGCGGTCCAAAATCGAAATAAACCACTTGTGCTACCCATTCTTCTTTTAATTTTGCCACTCAACACAGCTGGACATTTATTAGTCCCTCTCCCTGCCTCCCACTCAAGTCGATCCTCATTCACTAAATTTGCGATAATGTATCATTATTAGCCGTGGCGACCCAACATGATTCATTAAATTTGTGATAATGTATCATTATCAGCCGTGGCGACCCAACATGATTTTATTTCTCTTTGGTTGAATAAATCCAACTAAAGACGATCGTGATATAACATAAACTTACTGCCTGATTTCGTAATGCTCAAACCTTATTTATCACTGAGTCACCTACCTTTCTTTTTCTAGATACATAATTGCTTCAATGGATAAAAGTGGCAGTAGAAAATGTGTGTTTACAGACAGATATCAAACGAGTACGAATTAAGACAGTGAATCAGTGACACAACTTTTCGTACGTACACTTACTTACACTATACATTGTGAATCGTACGTGTTCTTCCATAACAATGATTTTAATTATATCGGGGTCTGCTAATTACAATTACACATTAATATATACATATAGTGTTTCAAGTTTAGGATCTGATTACCATAAATAAGTCTTTCATATAGTCATACACACCCCATAACGTTTAATGAGAGTAAATGCTTTAGTATATATGAATCCATACTTGTTGCATTATCTTTCTTAGTCGCTGAAGATAGTAGCATTATGATTATTCTCCGCTCGTGGCAAAAGAAGCCATATTATTCTGATCAAACGCCTTACATGAACTAAATGTCAAGATCATATAATCTGTACACGTATACTTGTTTGTTTTAGTTAGAGTTCTATGGAAAAATGTTTAATCGAACATATCCTAATCCAATTTAGCGATGAATATAGTTCAGGTCTAATCTGCAAAAGAACGAGAAAAAAATAGGTAAGAAATTGAAACCAATCATTTGTCATCGTTTAAGCAGTTTTTTTGTTATTTTTTTTTTTTGTAATGTTTCATGTATATTCATATCATACACTGTGAAGAGACACATTGGTTTGTTTGAAGAGAGGCATAAGAATTAATTTCTCATACTAACTAGAGAGGTCTTAGAGTACTGTCAAAATGACAGTAAATGAATTGTTTGATCCCTGCAAGTACATATGGGATATACAGTATGTATCTGTTTCAAATACATACCTGATAAAACCCCATTTTCTTTTTCATATAAGCATGTAACACTGTTCTTTAAAATTATTTGCCTTTTACATTGTTCTTAACATTATTTTCCATAATATATATAGACTTTTGTTTACTATATCCCAATTCCAGTTGAGTAGTATAGTAAATGGTTTGCAAACACATACCAACATCGAATATAGGTTTCTCTTTCATTTTCATGTCCATATGTTCTAAACTAACTACTTTTTTAACATGTCCCATAAATCTAATTGTTTCATCACCATAAAAAGATGCTTGAATAGCAAACATTAGCTTGTCTCTTCATGAACATAGTTGAAGATCCAATAATTATGAACCAAAAACAGGTTTATAGAAACTCACACTATGATGATTATGGTTAAAATGAAAATAATCACATATTTCCTTATTGTTATATAGCACATTTAGTATTGACACATATGTTCGTTTTAGTACCTGAATATGTAGTTATTCATTCCACGATTCATTCTAGATCAAATCTTTATTGATACCTAAACAGAACACCTCTCTTGACCTCTTAGTAAAGCGATATTGATGAACATTACGTGACAAGATCCCACTAGCAAACCTCACAATGATTTGAAAATGAGTATATTGATATGTCATATATAGAAAGTTTCTCAGCCAAAATCTAGATAAATGTATTCACACTATATACCACTTTACATTTTTTCAATATAAAACTCACATGCAAGATTCTACATAAAAAGAAAATTTACAAAAAAACACTAATATCTAGACCTATTTTATTTTTACTTAATTTAATTTTAAGAATTTTATCTTTTATGTGTTATTTTAATCAATAATGTCTTACAATGTTAACTAATGGTATCTTTATATATTTAAAAAACCAATTTTATATACACATACATGTGTATATTGAGGTAAGCACCTATATAACTTAATATTTACCACAAGTGAGAATTCTTAATATGCTGGAAATTGGAATATTTTTTTTTATTGTTTTATTTTCACCTTCAATCAAATTGTAATGAAATGATCTATCTTAATATTTTTTTTTTCAACTATTATCTAGATTTTATTTAACTTTTTTTTCAACTGTTGTTTGTGTGACATGA